GGGAACACTTTTCTCCGGGGACTCATTCACTTGCATGGTTTAACGTGATTCCCAGCTAAATCCCTTATTTTATTTCTCCTCTCAGCGTTCAGCTTAGAGTCGAGCACAAATTGAGCTGATGTGTTTTTTTGTTTTTTTTTCACACAATTTGGTCTTTCTGTCTGATCTGCCCTTTTCTGTCTGTCGTCATGTGCCTCTCTCTCTCTCTCTCTCTCTCTCTCTCTCTCTCTTGCCTCCCCATTTTGCCGTATTTGTCATGGTAATGTAAAAAAAAAAAATCTCAGCTGCTCCAATTCATTTCATGCTCTTTCAGTCGAGAAAGAAGGGCAATTCTGTTTTTCCTCACTAGTTTCTGTGTGTTGAGGTTTAAAGGTAATGAAGACCATATTTCATCTGCATGGAGTTATATGACTGGGCGTGGCTGAGCAGGTCTGTTATGGGAAAATAAATATTATGGAAGGTCTAACTCTGTTATCTTTATCTCGCTGGGATCAATGTGTGTATTATTGGACAGGATACATTACACAAACACGTCGGCAACGCACGCAATGTGCACACATTTGGAGCCAAGTACTTAAGTTGTCTATACAGAATGCGCACACACACATAAGGAATACATAAAGGTAAAATACACATGCAGAAGCAGAGGGCAATCCATATTTACACCACACCATCCCCCATACTCGTTGCTTTGGTTATGTCTGTGTGTGTGTGTGTGTGTGTGTGTGTGTGTGTGTGTGTGCCTGACAGCGAGTCACTGAATGCTCTAATGACCACAGTCCTGACACAGGTATTTTGACTGCTGCCTCTTTCCATCGGCACATTGACTGACATGCGATTAGTTACGCTGGGATGAAAAACTAGGGAGGCGCACACTGTAAGCATGAAGGAGGGTTAAGTCCTGTTCTCTCTGTCTCTCCTGCCTCATCTTTCTTTAAATCTAAAAAAACATCCCCGGCCGCAGTTGCTGGTTGTACGATTTGGTATTCAGTGTGTACAGTAAAGCGCAGCTTGGCGCACAGCGACCTTATGAGAAAAGCTTCTCGTGTAGATCAATGCAGGTTAGTAACGCCGTAGCACAGAATGCAAAGTAAGCATCGTAGTAGGAATAAAGGATGGATACAAAATTGATCTAAAAAAAAAAGCTTTTTTTGTAAGTAGAGCTGCACCATCCCGCTACTGACCCCAGTTAGTGGATCCTGTATTGACCAAACTTAACTGATCCACATTAAATCAAGTTAATTGGTCAGTTTTATGATAGAAGTCACTGTTTTTGCTATAATGTTACAAATAATTCAGTCACAGCAGGCAAGTGAGGGAATTTTTAGTGGCACAGCGTACATGGTGCAAGGTAATGTCTTTAGTATCCCAATGAGTTCCACATTGTGAGGATATGCTGCTTGTTAATTTGAGAATAAGAGAACAATGGTCAGTGCTGGCAGATACACAGACTCTAGGTATTGGCACAACCCTAACTGTAAGATCTCATAAAGCTATATGCGCAACATACCTGCAAAAGTAAACCTGACAACAAAATCCAGATATCCAAAATATATGAACACAGATTCATGCAGCATGAAACACAAACTAGATGCTATGTATATAATTAAAGCATGACACAGGAGTAAAAGAATATTTCCATTGCGGCGGCACTGAACATAGGACCTTCATCATTAGGAGTACAAAGTTGATCTGGAATCTTATTTTTACCCACTTTCTAAAAAGTTCTATCGTATCCTCTTGTAGGGGAACTTATTCTCTAATGAATGGATACAATAGCAAGTGTTGCGGTGCCACGATAGATGCGAGTCCCTGTCTGAAGGAAAGCTACATTTCTGACATGCTGTGTTCCAGTCAACAGTTGTTTTATAACCTCTAAGACTGTGGTGCACTTCCTGCATCAAACTGACATTGGTTTGGCTTCACGCAAACACAAAGCTATTTATAGCATCTCTCCCACTTTATTTTCTCCCTCCCATTCTCTCCCTCTCATGTATTTGCATTTCTGCTATGCAAACAAGGAGTCTGGTGTCAAGTGCGTCAGTTGCACAGGCCGTACTTGTCCCTTCTCTTTCTCGATCCTCAATCTATCTCACAATTTCGTTCCCTCGCTCGACATGACTCCCCCTCTCCTCCATCTCACTGTAGCTTTCCACCTCGCTCTCACCTTCACCCTCCACCCCCCTCCCCGCTTTCCCCTCAATCCCTCTCTCTCTCTCTCTCTGTCTGTGTTTTCCTTTGCTCAATTGTTTTGCTGTAGATTTGGCCGCTATGATTAATGACCTCAAAGCTTCAGGAAAGCAAACAGAGACAGAGAGAGAGACAGAGAGAGAGAGAGAGAGAGAGAGACAACAAGCTCGCTCTTCCCTTACAAACCTCCCTTTTTCTCTCATGTCACCTGCTCTTATGTTCACACTGAGCACGTTATGTGATCTGCTTATTATGAGTCAGATTACACAAGAGAGAGATTTTATATGCACACATTTTGTATCTGATTTCTCAAGATAACCACCACCTGGCAGACAACAGCTCTTCCAGACCATTGTTGCATTTATAATTTGTTCTTATTTAGTTTATTTGGCGCGTTAAATGATTGCATACATTTTGTTATCATGCATGTCTATATGACCACACTGCATGTCCAGCTTTTGACATTATTTCTCAACGTTTTAGAGCTCTTGTCATCCTCTGTGTGTTAAACCAAAATGTTAAATGAACATCAGAGCAAGGGACCACTGATGAAATGAACCTCTTGCTCAGAGGTCAAACTAGTCATACTCGAAGGTAGGCGTTAAGGGTCTTGCTCAAGGACACTTCAGTGGGGTAAATGCTTGAATATGGTTGATTTTAAGGTGACCGTGTGACTTTGTAACACAAAATAAACACATTTTATAACCCTGGAACTACTACTGTAAAGTACAATATGATATAATTTAGCTGGTTAAAAACAATTCAACTAAGCTAAGCTAAAGCAACCATTTAGCTTAGCTTAGTATAAAGACTAGAAGCAGGGCAAAACAGCTCGGAAGCCAGGAAGTCACCCGCCTAAAAAAGATCTTCCAACACATAACCTGTAAACCCTTTAAAGAGATGTACACAAACATAATTTGTGAGCTTTAGAGGGTTTGAGGTGGAAAATAATTATTTTTACCTTTCCCCTCGATTTAGATATTGTTTGTTATTCTAACAACTCGGTGCCCACAGTGACTCCTTCACATTGCGCTTCAGGAGCACCACCACAGACGCCAGTTTGCTCCTTGACATTCTGTACAATTGCTTTCCACTCGCCCTGTTTTGCTCATCAACATCTGGTTTGCAGGTGTGAAAATAACCTATTTCAAGATACCGTCACTTCCAGCGCGATGTGATTAGGAAAGCAAGTAAAACCGTTTTCCAGGCGCAATAAAGAAAGTAATTTCATTTGCAGAATACAATGATTATTCCTCCAGCAAACTAATAGTGCTATCAGACAGAAATCATTGCACTGGAAGTAACAGCTCCATCAGAGTCCGAATGATAACGTGGAAATGGAATTGGGGCTTCAAATGGAATAATGGTGCAAGGAATTGTCTTTGTGCTGCAGTTTGTTTGGTGCTCTGAGTGTGTCATGTATGAAGATAGAAACAAAAAAAAGTAAATTCTATAGTAGAGGAATCTGACTATGATTTTAATTGAAAATAGAAAAAAAGAAAATCCTCCAAAAAGGGTTTATATTGACCAACTGAACAACTACATTAGAGTAGATTTAGTCCCTGGAACACATGGCTTATTATTACATGAGGTGAAACATGACTATGAAAACATTGTGGCCCATTCTCGGTCCCTCCAAACAGTTTGAGAAACACCTCCAGCAAGTTACTGTGGGCAGTGGGCACATCTCTGTCCCGTTACTCGACCTTACAGTCGCAGCTGTAATTCATCTCAGCCACTACTATAGCTGACTTGAGCTGTGTTTTGTTTCCTCAATAAATGGCTGGTGCCAAATAGTGTCAGACAGAGGAGCAGGCAAGGCCTCTGGGAGTGTGTGTGTGTGTGTGTGTGTGTGTGTTCATGTTTATATGCCGTGTGTTTCAAGCTGCTCTGGCTGTGACCCCAGTGTTAATCACACTACAGCCAGAACAACCACAGGCTCTATCGCCACTGCTGCTGCTACAACCCTCTTCCTCTCCCACTCTATTTGTCTCTCATTCATGCTCTCTGTTTCTATTTATCTCTCTCTCTCTCTCTCTTAGTCATCTCTCTTTCTTACATTTCGGTATTTGTCAACTTGTGTTATAATTCATGGTCATTATAATAATCACCTCCATTCTAGAGATTTTGTAAAACCTACACTACGGTCAAAAAACGACGTTGATCAGAACGAGGAGCACGAACCTCCTACGGCTTTCCAAAAAGTAGAAATAGAAATCATCTTGAAGACTTTGAGTCTGACCGAAAGTAAACAGGGAAAGTAGGTCCTCCGGAAATTCCTGTAGCTGTTGCAGCGAACTGCGCGGCACAGCAAATCAATATCTGGGTCGACTCCTGGCCGACTTACCTGCCATGTGTCGTTTGATTATGCTAATGTGGCTTTGCTTTCATTTGATTTGACTGGCCAACTTGCTGGCTGACTAACTACACGGCCGTTGGTGCAAGTGTTGTGATTATCACTCTGCCTTTGTCGCCCTGTGACACCGTGGATTCACAGCGGTGAGGTGTGTGTATGCGCACTTACACACACACAATCTCAGGCTGTCGGCGAGAACTGAGACGAAGAGTGTGAGTTACACAAGCTTTGACAGGGCCTAATTATACGTGTCTCTAATGAACTGTAATTACTGACATCCACCAGAGCATCGAGGTCTATAAGCCGAGGACTCGCAGTCATTAGGCTGCTGTGTTACACTGTTTCTGTGTCTCCACTGACTGACTGAAAAACTCTGTTTTTTGTCCTTGTTATGATGTGTCGGTCTCTGCCTAACTGTTTTCTCATTTCTCTCTCCCTCTTTCCCTCTCTGCAGTTTGATGGTGACAACATGTACATGAATGAAAACAACCATGAGTTCCTCCCGCCAAACCAGGTGAGCACAAATTGCCTCTAATGGAATACCTGCTCTTTTCCCCTTTTCCTCTTATTTCATCTGTTCCCGTGATTGTTGCGCAGCCATTTTCATTCCACCATTGTTCAAGCTTGTTGGGACGCACGACAAATTGTTTTTACTGAAACAACCACAGTTAGAGTTATATGACATCAGCTGAAAGCAAAGGGACTGAAAGCTCTCAAAAAAATAGTCCAATTAGTTCACCCATGTTTTAGGCTGACAGATATAAGAGAAAAAAAACTATTCAATGCATTCTGCACTCCATGGGTGAAATATTGCCCCCGGGATAATCATGATAATATATAATAATCCGAGTGTTAGTGTTCAAAGAGTGGAATAAACAGAAACATATTTCTTCTCGTCCCAGAACCTGGAGTCTAATTGCAAATCCCTGCCAAGGATTCTTGCTTTTAATGTTTGTGGTTTTTTTGGATCCCCATAAGTTGTTACGTTGGCAACAACTACCATAGAAGTAGTCCATAGTGAAATGTACATACTGTCGATACGTGTTTGCACTTCTACTACATACAGTAAACACCGTAAAACAGTATCGCCATGACGGCTAACCCGATAACATCAAAACCAAAATATATGACACACAAACACACAGACCAATTAATAGTAAAGCATTAAAATAAGAAGAAAATATTTAATTAATTTGCAAATCTAGTCTGCAAAGAGAGTTAAAGACTCATTTTGATAATTTATGATGAATTTCTTGGTATTGTTTTCACTAGATTGTGAAGTATACAGATGTATACAGATCTATAAAAATGAAATATGTGTTGTCTATTATACACTAAAACTGGAATCTCTCCCAGCATGCACTGGACAGGTTGCTAGTCTATCACAGTCTATGTCTATGTCAGACTGCCATAACTACATTTAAGCTAAGTACAGTATAGGAGGAAACCAGAGAACCTAAAATATCCAAATTCCAAACAAAAAGAGCTCGGACCTTCTTTCTGAGTCAACCGTTGAACTATAACTCTGCCATCATAAAGTTCACTTTATTCAAATTACGCAACCAATCTCTGTGCACATAGTTTTCACTTCGGTAAAAGCTGAGCAGAAAGCACTGCTTCACTGAGTGAGTTTTGGCATCATTGCAAAGGATTTATTAAGTTAGCATAGAGGGGGAGCCAGCGCTCTTCTACAGTACATGGCAACCATGTCACTGCCAGATACACTGTAGTACAGCTGGTCCTGAACAACTGGGAGACCATATGGTTGTGTTTGGACAGGGGGATTTGTGGAGTTTGGAAATAAACCCATCTGACATACGCAGGGGAGCAGGGAATTTGTCCCTGTCAATTGCAATTATTAGAACCGACCCATAGGCTACAGTAGTTCTGTGTTTCTGTTACATTTGCTGTCTTGCTTAATTTCTTAATGCCCTGGTTTTAAAGTGTGGCTCAAGGCCCAGAGTGAGAGACAGAGCTGCCGATGCTGTTCCTTGTACTCAATTCCCTAAGTTTATTTAGTTAACTCTGATGACAAATGTGTCTGTTTCAAGGTGATTTTCAGCAGGATAGTGCTGTTATCTGACAAATGTCTCAATCAGGTACTTGGCTGTCTAAATAATCTTAAGAACCACTGCTTTTATCGGCCATTTTTTATTCAGCGCATGTACTTTTACTGCAGTGCTGATTGTCCGATTACAAGTCGCGCTGATGTGCACAATGTTTTTTGCTGAATTACTGAGGGACAGATAAAACATCGCAAATGTGGCATGGAAGATAGACAGAGAGAGAAAGGGAGAGAAAGGTGGTTATCAAGGAAGCAAGAGGGAAAGAGACAGAGCGAGGGAAATGGCGTGAAACGCGGTGATGGGATGAGAGACGATTTTGCTTTGGTCTGTGTTATACTTTGTTTACTCAAGATCCCCTCATATTTGACATGTGCCTTGCTCTATTCTCCGCTTCACCAAGTTTAGCCTCTCCTTCCCTCTGACAGCTGGAATCAGGGAGGGCCTTAGGGCTGGGCACACACACCGACAACACAACATAGAGATGGAGGATATGGGAAGAATCGCTGGTTTGCACCTCCTTAGCTGTGTCCTAATTCTACACTTCGAACTAATTCTAAACAGATTTTAAGTTTGTAAACTGGACATGACTAAGTTATACGCAAACAAAGTGGGTATGCAGACTGACAATGCTTCAGTTGTGAGGGTGCTGCTGTTCATACACTGTTGATCCCACCGTGCACAAATTGGATCGTGGTGAAACAGCTCGAGGAAGATGTTGGGAAAAATACAAAATGCATATGAAATCTTTCAGAGTGATAGATAACAGTGGGATGTCCAAAATCTATGCCACATTCTCATTCTATATATTGTTATAGTATATGGATTTTTCAGTTAGATCAGATGAAATTAAAATACCATTTCCAGTATGAAATGCCATTTTAAACATGAAATTGTACAATGTTGGTGCCTTTCAGACATCAATCAAACTGCTACTTTAGAATTCAACTGACGATCAGACTGAACAAAAGAGGCGGCAAAATGTTTTCACAAAATATTTAACAGTTATGTTTTTGTTTTTTCTGAGATGTTTCTGGAGCTGTACCACCCACTATTAGTTTGACATTTTATCCAGCTGTGAGTATCCTCTCTTTGTGCGCTGCATCGTGGGAGAGTACTGAGCATCGACGGCACACTCATAAACAAATATAATACTCATATACTCACAGTGTGAACGTGCGCCGTACTCACAGCCTGCTTAGAAGTGGTGTGCAGTATAGATTTGGGACACAGTTGCAGTTTGATTGATGTCTATCAGCGTATGTGTTGCATAATTAATACAAATTGGTAAAGTGCATCGATTTCTTCTACGCTAACTGCAAAAAGGAATACAGTTCATATTCTTTGCAAGTATACAGCGTTTGACTGTGAATGTGTTTACGGTTGTGTTGTTTGTGCTGAGGTAAAAATGGACTTGGTGAAAGGAACAGAGGGATAACAGCTGCAGGGATCATTTTTTATTAATTAGTTTTACTCCTGAATAAACGTTATGTATGGTATATACAGTAGCTGCACTATTCTCAGTATATTCCATCTTGAATAAAAACAAATCATACTGCCTAAAGCTCACTTTTCTCTGCTGGCTGCTTTATTATCTCACTTTACTTCTCTACCTCTCTTCCTCCCATTCTCACCGACTCCCCCACTTCTGCTCGTTTTCTCGCTC